AGAGTGTCCCCCCCCCCCCATGAATCAAAATACACCACTGACCCTTTGTGCATATTTCACGGTTAAGAGTCATGCAATAGAGCAGTGGTTAGCAGACTTCTTTGAATTGCGACCCACTTGTCGACATCCAGAAAATTTCTCGACCTACTGGAATCCAGAACGAGGTATTTTCTAAGTAATTATAACGTGAAGAAAACTCATTGACCTAATCTGTAATGCATGTTTTAACTCGAGCAGATGCAGATAGTTTTTTATGATAGGGAATTTCTCGCGACCCATCCGGGAGTCTCTTGCGACCCTCCAGCGGGTCGCGACCCACAGTTTGGGAACCGCTGCAATAGAGCATAAATGTCAATCTTTTTCGATTTTCAAGGACACCTCTATCTTTACTTCGTTCCTTTTGAGAAGCTCTATATAAGGCAAACTGTTGAAGGTTCAAACCAGTATATAAAGGAGCAGAGCCAAGGTGAAGTGGAACAGAGAGTAGGAGACGGTAAGAGATGGCGGGAAGTTGCGGCATATGTATAGAACGTGATTCGCTGAGCTCTTTCCAATGGGCATGGCGCCATTCACGTGCCTCCTTCACAATCGCACACGGCATAGCTCACCGCGGCTGCAAGTGTACACCACGGTGATTTGCTAATGAATTCGCATCACATTGTACCACAATGTAATTGTGCAATGTTATTTCATTGGTACATCCAAGGAGGTGAGGGTGTATCTCCCGTAATGGAAGTAACGATAGGCCATTGGTGCCCTAGTAAGAATAATACGAATGCATTTGCAAATCACACTTGGTAGGCTAAGAGCTAGGCTCGATTCATGGAGTACCACATTGCTATTCCGTGTGTACTAGTTAGGTGAAAGCCTTGATTTTAGTTGCGGCGCAAGGGACTTTGACTGAGAAGAGTCATTCATTTCTAGGCGATTCGGCAGAGATGGTTTATGTAAACATGCTCAAAGCTGTGGGCCTAGCCGTACCTTCTTGGGATGGGCATCCAAATCCAAGCATCCCAATCATAAAAGCTGGACAGTGAAGGGAATATCCTGAAGGGAATGCCACACGTCTATGATTCCTCCAAATTTGCATCACAAGGCCCTCCACGTCCAAGGATTAAAGTGCTATATATATTTGCTGAAGTTTGATATTTTTTATTTTCTCTAGGATGTTGGACTTGCGATAAGAAACCAATTATTCAAGTCAGAGTCAGCCAGAGGAGTGGAAGGTATGAATGTATGTCATAGGTTTTACTGCTAGTGTCGTGATGGTCAAAAAATTATATTATTGTTGGTAAATTTGCATTTGAGTTCAATTTTGCACATGATCTAAAAGTATTTTATGCATGTATTAACTACAGTACCAAAAATAGGCCAGATCAGCCTTTGAGTGCATTAGCCTAGCAAGTCTCATTCAAGGCTGTAAACCATGTTTGACCTCAGACATATTAACTTCTGAGCTCAGTGAGGAGAAAGGCGAAGCTTGGGAGGGAAAAGAAGACAGAACCATGCATTGATTGCGGTCTAGCCCAAGATGACGCAACCTCTGGGCCATATAGAGCTGAAATTCTTTTGAAAGCCCTCAATGGATTTGATTTAATTTTTTTTCTTAGTTAGCCCTCTAGGTTTCAACTATTGACATCTGGATTAGGATTTCACTTATGCATGTAGTACACTATTGCTTAGTGAAGGTTTACCATGGTAAATCTGAAGCAATGTCTTTTTCAGGGTTCACACTAGCTTTTTTAAATCTTGAGTCCTGGCACCTAGCTTCAGCTCAGTGGGAACATGTTCAGGTGGTTGTCAATGAGCCCCACGGACTTGGACGTTTTACAAATATGAGTCCCTCCCAGAAAATGTCAGGGACTCACTAGAGCGAGTTAACATGAATCCTGCTTTTCTCTCTCCCCTCTACAGGCCATCCATAACTATGTTCAACATTAATAGAGCTAGTGCCTCAGCATGATTCCTTACCAGGGCATGGGACTCAAACAACCTTCATCAGTGATTTAAAATTTAGGGTGGATTTTTGAACTGAGCTCTAAAATAATCCTGCTCTATTGGATAATACAGCTTCATAAAGTGGAGCATTATTTTTTCAATTTTTGGGATGGCTTTTTGAACAGAGCACTATCTGATAATGCAGCTTTATTTCCAGTAAAATGCTCTATTATCAAAGAAGCAATTTTTGAACCAAGCACTAACATAATGCTCCATTTTATTTAGACATTGGTTCGTGATTATAATGAGTAGGTCCAGAGGTCCTCTTTTGTCGATAATGTTGGATTATTTTCACCAGTCGCAATGGAAGGGCTGCACGGCTTGCATCGTGTGCAATCGTATCGCCTCATGATAACCCCTTGACGTATTTTTTCAATGAAAATTTGTTTTTCAGGTCTTCAATATTTTAACCCTTATCTGATTTCCCAAATAGAAATTCGGTAAAAAATCGGATGACATATGCAGACCTGGGAAGTATAGTTAAGATGTTCTTCAAGTTCCAACTGTGTCTTTAAAAACAAAAGATGTCATGTTGGAAACAAAAAAACTTGGAAAAGTTTTATTTTCTCTTTTCCCAATGTCATGGGGTTTTTTGTGCCATTTATGATACTGATTAATTCATGTGGTACTCGCTGCCATCTTTAAAAACTCATTCCACTTTGCTTTCTCACATATGAGATGCAACGTTGCCGTCACCAACTATCGTAGAAAATAATTGAGGATTATTATAATAGAGCATTGTCAAATGCAGCATTATCTGGCAAGTTCAAGGGTGGATTTTTGAACCGAGCTCTAAAATCATCCTGCTCTATTGGATAATACAGCTCAATAAAGTGGAGCATTATTTTTTCAATTTTTGGTTTGGCCAGATAATGCTGCATTTGACAATGCTCTATTATAATAATCCTAGATTATTTTCAACACAACACGAATCGTTACATGAAACACAATTCGCCATCATTTTGCATTTTATTTCTTTGTGAACAACCCTGCACGACGACGAGGAGTAGTGGAGGGCTCTATCTGGGAGAGCCAATCAAGTGAAGGGATTCCACGCCAGAAGTGATGATAAAAACTTTTCCAAGTTTCTCTGTTTCCAACATGATGTCTTGTTTTTTGACACAGTTGGAACTTGAAGAACATCTTAACTATACTTCCCAGGTCTGCATATGTCATCTGATTTTCTTTTTAGTTTCTATGTGGGAAACCAGTCATGCTTTAGAACTGGTTTGGAAATTTTTTATGGGAAAAAAATTACACAGGGTGGCCCATTTAAAAGTGGACTTGGTATCATACCACCTACAATGCATGCTCATTCACTTCCAATAACCTTCACTGCCACTAATGAGTGCCAAGTGGGTCAACTTTTAAATGGGCCACCCTGTATATTGGAGTGTATTTGTGGTTGTGAAGTAGGATGTGGAGTGCTGAATATAATTCTGGTTCTGTTCAGATGGTATATTTACCTGATATATAATATATATATTTTTATATATGATTTATATCTGATAATAATCAGATCCTCATGAATTTCCCTCAAAATCTGAGTCCTTTCATATGCTATGTAAAACTTTTAAGACAGTTTGAACAGATGATGTCCTCTAGAATTTGAAGTTTTGATTTGCTTTGAAGATGTTTCATGAGAAATGAAAGGGTTTTAATGAATGTCTGAGAAGTTAACAGGATCAACACTGTTTTTTTACCATGTTACCATGAGATATTTACTATTCTACTCTTCCTACTATTTCTCTATTATGGTTATGCACTTGCTGAACTCAGAATCTCATTGATTAGATGAATGAATGAAGTTTAAAAAAATGTTTTGATGTATGAGTAATGTCTCACAATTTCACTAACAACTTATGCTGTATAATTGATATTTTATATTATCAAAATATTGCATAATAATCGCAGCCCTACTTCCTATTGTTGGTAGCTAATGTTTGGGGCTTTTTTGTGTTTTGATATCTGCCTCTATAACTGACTCATCTCCCTCCTTCTGTTTGTCTTTTTATTGCTCCAAGGTTAGTGATAGATTTAGGTCCTTTCTCACTTGAGTGAACTGTTTTCATATTGAACAAATTTCTTGCTGGTAGGTAGGATCTGTTCGGATATATTTGGTTTACTGTACTACTTACTGGACTAACTCCTACTGGCAGTAAGTGTTTATTAGTTGGTAAACTGCATGGTAGATATGGGCCATGGGCCTCTTTCATTAGAAAATTAATTCAATCAAATACTGGAATCCCAACAGCAAAACATTGGCAATGTTGCTGTCAAAGAGAAGGTAAGAGAAATCCTGTGAATATATTTTAGGATCTCCTGTTTTCCATGTAATAGATCATGTAATCCATTGAGCTCAAAAGTGAAGCTTTCATAAATGCCCAAGTACTATAACGTTTGAAATCATTATTTTCACAGCAAAGCTGTGAAAAAATTATTGTGACAAAGATGGACTAATTCAATATTTTCATCATCAGTGTCTTGTATGAAAGTGTCAGTGGAGCAGTTCAAGGCTAGCTTCCTGCTTTTTCCCCATCAAACTTTTTTACATCCACAACCAAATCTTGAAAAGTCTTCTGGCATAGTATGGTTTTCTAAGAATATTTCCGTATCTGTCGGATATCAAAGTTATTAGGTGTGACTGAACCTTGTAATAGGGAGTCGCATTATGCAGATAAGGCCTACCAAGAAGTTTCCTGGCTCTGCTCCAACCACGTAAAAGGATATCTCTAAGAAGCACTGCTTAGTTGGGTTGTGATTAAAACTATAGGCACTCCTATCATAGTCTGCAAGAACTCCAGGTCTAGGTCAGTATTAATAGGCTGTCTTATGCCTTGATAATTTTCCTATTTTTCAGGCACATGCTGTGATGATCTCCAGAATTCAGCCTAATGTTCAAGAGGTGTATTAGAATTCCTGTCTATTTTTAAGAAAGTGAACCTCATGGAGTTGCAGGCTTCTGCATGACCCTAACACAAGTATAGCCATAGAAAGCCAGTATGCCAGATATATTAGTGACTCCCTTGGGAGCTGGCCAAGATGTGGGCCGAAGTTGCATTCTTCTTCAGATGGGAGGAAAGAACATTATGCTGGATTGTGGTATGCACATGGGCTATTCTGATGAAAGAAAATTTCCAGACTTCTCATACATTGGAGAAGGAGACCTGACAGATTTTCTGGACTGTGTTATTGTCACCCATTTTCATTTGGATCACTGTGGTGCCTTGCCTTATTTCACAGAAATGGTAGGCTATTCTGGACCCATCTACATGACTCATCCAACAAAAGCCATCTGCCCTCACCTTCTAGAGGACATGAGAAAGTTATCTGTTGATAGGAAAGGTGATGTGAATATGTTCACATCTCAAATGATAAAGGACTGCATGAAAAAAGTCACTGCAGTCAATCTCCACCAGGTTGTTCAAGTGGATCCAGAGCTTCAGATCAAGCCCTATTATGCAGGACATGTGTTAGGAGCAGCAATGTATCTTATCCAAGTAGGTCCATTATCTGTGGTTTATACTGGTGACTATAACATGACTCCAGACAGGCATTTAGGAGCCGCATGGATTGACAAGTGTCACCCAGACCTCCTCATCACAGAATCCACATATGCCACAACCATTCGGGATTCAAAACGATGTAGAGAAAGAGATCTCCTTAAAAAGCTTCATGACTCCATAGAAAGGGGAGGGAAAGTTCTGATCCCAGTCTTTGCCCTTGGTAGAGCACAAGAGTTGTGCATTCTCCTGGAGACCTATTGGGAAAGAATGAATCTTCAGGTTCCTATATACTTTGCTGTAGGCTTGACAGAGAAAGCTAATAACTATTACAAGATGTTCATCACTTGGACAAATGAGAAGATACGAAAAACATTTGTGAAGCGGAATATGTTTGACTTCAAACATATCCATGCATTTGACAAGTCATATATTGATAACCCTGGACCTATGGTGGTATTTGCAACACCTGGAATGCTTCATGGTGGGTTGGCATTGCAGATCTTCAGGAAGTGGGCTCCCGATGAGAACAACATGGTGATAATGCCTGGATACTGTGTTCAAGGTACAGTTGGATATAAGATTCTCAATGGTGCAAAGAAAGTGGAAATAGATGGCACTGTAGTGGATGTGAAATTGACTGTTCAGTACATGTCATTCTCTGCTCATGCTGATGCCAAGGGAATTATGCAACTCATCAGGTACTGTGAACCAAAGAATGTAATGCTTGTTCATGGTGAAAATGAGAAGATGGATTTCCTTCGCAACAAAATCATTCAGGAGTTTGGCATTGAATGTGTGAAACCTGGTAATGGCGAAATGGCTCGAATTCAAGTTGAAGTCCCTCTTGAAGTGGACATTTCAAAGAGACTTCTGAAGCGTACACAAGCAATGGGAGAACTGGAGGAAGGAAAAGGAACGAAGCGCAGTTTTCTTCTGCATGGAGCCTTGCTTCTTACTGACAACAAGCTTCGAGTTATTGAAGCAGACAGAGTGTATGAGGAAGTTGGCATTCCCAAGCATGAGGTACGATCCACAGCTAATGTTCGTCTGAGTGATCCAAGACCATTGGCAAATACCAGAGAAAGTTTACATCAACTTGTGCAGAGCCGAGTGAAAGGGGAACGCCAGGTTGTGATGACTGATGGTACTATATCTGTTGACTCAGTTCTTGTTCAGGTTGATGGAGATGAAGATGAGAAGACTGTTCTAGTGTCATGGGGATATCAGGATGAAGCTCTTGGGACATATCTGTTGAGGGAAATTGAACTCATGGGGAAATGAATTTTTATTTTTTCCCACTCCAAAAGTGTGTTTATCATGGATGAACTATTGTTTCTGAAAATATGCAAGTTGTGTAAGACAATTTTGAAGTTAAAAAAGCATAGTAGTGGCAAATGTCTTTCCAGTAAAGAATTACTCAAAGTTAATGTTGAGGGTATACTAAATTGCATAGTAGTCTCACCAGTCAACACTATTTCAAGAGAAATGAATGCCAGTTAATTTTAAAATGTAATTGTTAACCAGATACTTATTAAAGCCATATATGTGACATCTCAGATTATGAGGAAGATTTCTGGAGAGTTCTTACAAAAATGTCACTCACTGCTGCTAATGCAATGATTTTTCAAAAGTATAATTTTTTATGGGTTTTTATGGTTGCAATTTAAATTGTTTTTTATGCTTTTCTGTGGACCTAAAGCCAAACTCCATTCATCTGAGGTGTTATATGCTAGAAAGAAGACTCATTTCATTGATAGAAATTAATTTTACTTGTAAACTTGTAAAAATAAATTTCACAGAAAAATGCAAAATGATCATAACATATAAAGGGAATTTAAGAAAAAACACATTTTAGTTCTGAGACTGCCTGTGTTCAGCCTTGGTGGCATGAAGTGACATGGTAGTAAAGAATCTTTTGAGGAGCATCTTGTGGATTGCTTGTTTATGGCAATTTTAATCCTTTCACTGTGAAGAGCAACTTGTCATCTGCAGTTCTATTATTCTCTGGTTGTGAGAAGCAGATATATTCCACTGCACCATATTCTTTACTCCTTTCACTTTGAGAAGTGTTTTCAATTGACTTGTTGTAACACTGTTTCAAGGAGTTCATTATAAAGAAAATATATAAGGAAAAAAAGACAGTCAGTAATATTAAAATAGTCTATATCACTTGTTGCTCTGTAAGCAGAACAGGAGAAAATATGGGGTTCGTAACAGTTATAGGCTTTAAATAAAGATTGCATTTTCACAAAATGTAAAACAAATTTTTTGAAACTGACTAAAGGATTTTTCAACTAGTATCAAAGAAATAATTAAACAAATAAGCTTTGGGATAATTTAAAGATTATTGACAAACTGACTGAAAAATTACACTCTACCAAGAATGTATCTTTTAAAATTCATGCAGCCAGAGGATTAAATGCTTCAAAATTAAAGAGTCTTTGCATTTTCAATCAATAGATGAACATTTTAAAAACTTTGTGCAAATATTCCCTATTTGTCTGAGATGTCCATACTGTTTGGTTCTCACGATATTGGATGGAAATATTTTTAACCCTCCCATTACTGTGAAATTTTACATACGTAGATTTGGGATTGGGGTCACCATCAACCCCAAGGAAGTTTATCAGTTGTACAAAGTATTTCAGGGCCATCAATTACACATTATTATAGGTTCTCTTAGAATATTTATTACTGAATGCAAAATTATAAGATATCTTCATTTTGCTGTTTTACACAATTGAATTTTTCATTAAATTTGCTTTTTAGGCAATGAAATAAAAGAAAACCATTTGGCTGTGAAACATACTGTTTTTTTTTTGTGAGTCTGTGCACTGAAATTATGATAATTTAATTAGTATTCAAACATAAGGAACAAATCGTCAAAACACAACATTGCAGAATGGTTCTAATATGTCTCAATACAGCCATAGCCTCTTGGTAGTTGGTGATCTCCATGCTTAGCTGTTTTGGCACTGGAGGTGAGGCAAGCCAAGTGGTCCTTGCAAGCAAACACATTGCTATTGGAGCATCAGCTATAGTGCTTCAGCTCTTTAAAGCGAGGACATAGAGAACAGTGACCATGGTTTCCTCCTATAGTGGTTTCCAGGGTATTTTGGAGAAATGGAGTTTGCTTCTCAGCATTCTACATATAGGTATTGACTGCTCAGGATCATTCAGATCATTAGTTAAATCACATTCCTAATCACCTTCACTCATAAACATTGAATGAATATCTTTGTCCATTACATGTCTTTGAACCATCTTTCATGGTCTGCAAGATCAGTTGATGCTCATCAAGTACCACGTTCTAAACATGCATTACACCCATGACATCTGGTGACCAGCATGCAAACCAGGAAAACACATCCATTGCAACAATTTCCTATTATTGGTTATTTGAAAGTGATGCAGTAAGTTTTCTTTGACTTGACCATTATGGAGTAAATGTTGATCCCATGGTATCGGATGGGATTTTGAGCAAAAAAACAAATAGAAATAAGTTATGATTTTAAAATTCCACTCATCTTTATGAACTTTGTCCAGGAATATTATAAGTACAAGACAAGTCCTGAGAAAGTTTTCTCCCCTAAGAAATGAATGAACAAACCTTACATTGGGGTGGTCATTCGCCCCATGGTTACCATGGAGTTAAGAATAGACTATTATGCTTTTTTGAGAGAGTCATTTTATATGCTTGACCCTCTTGTTGATGTTTTTGAATGTCATCAGTCTAAGTCATCCTTGACATGCAAATGTCAGGGTGGGGACTGGCTTTCCCTTCTTGACTGCCTTGCCTGGTAAGCAATTATGCATATGATCATCTACCCCATGCCTCACCCAGACAGAGACAGAGGTGATTATATATATTGTAGGGAAAAGAGACTACTTACGAGTATCTTATAATCAATTTCTCATCATATATAGGGTATGATAGGAGAGGGCCAAGATGAAGAATTCAATCTTGAACTACATTACCCGGAGTCCAGCCTCTGCTGTTGGTAATTCTCCTGCTAGATTTGCCTCACCAAGCTCTTCAAGCAAGAATGCCCCTTCAGTCCATTCCAATAAGAAGGCAACACCCATGAAAGCAAAGAAAGACATCGGTTTGTCAGCCTCTGCTGCAAATGTCTTGACTTATAGGGGAACTGTCTCTTAGTTTGATTTTTCTTTTTTTCTTCCAGGGAAGAAGAACAAGAAAGAAAACTATAATACTGGGGATTTGGTGTGGGGGCTACTAGAAGGCTATCCATGGTGGCCAGGCATTGTCTGTCCTGGCCCATCATCCAAGGATCACTTCAACAAAAAACGAAAGGAGCTCCATGTCCAGTTCTTTGATCAACCCCCTAATCGAGCTTGGCTGAAGCTCCAGTAAGACTTGCTGTTGAATCCCTGACATAGAAAACCTCTGCAATGATAATTGACATACTTATATGTGTCTGGTTATTTGATGATCCAGGAAAGTGCAACGTTTCACAAATAGCCTGGATGGTCCAAGCTCCTCATGTGAGGATGAGAAATTCAAGAAAGTTTGTGAGGAAGCTGACAAAGCAGCCAAAATGACTCTTGGTGAGCGGGTGAAACTCCTGGTTGAATTTCCTCCTTCTGATGAGGAAATGGAAGCTGAGGATGATTTGGGAGAGGATGGTGATGGTGACAATGGTGGTAAGGCATTAATCAAAGATGAAACACTGCTCATTGCACTTTATTTTCACTGACATTGTGATGTGTAATTGGTCCTTATTCATAGGGGACAGTGATAAAAGCAAGGAAAATGTGGATACAAACAGCAGAGTAAAGCGAAGGAGGGAGAGGGATGTGAATTTTACTCTGAAAGCAAAACGGCAGCGCATCCTTGAGTTAGATGGGGATGACTCAGAAGATGAATATAAACCTGCTCAAGAAGAAAGTGACTCTGAAGATTCTGCTAGTTCTGGGGTCCCAGAAGATGAAGTATCAGATGTTGAGGAGTTCAGTGAAGAAGATTCACCTGTCAAAAAGGTCAGCTTGGAGCCCTATATCCTGTGATTTTGCTGTTGTAGCTTTTAAATGAGTACAAATGTTGACAAGGAAGAAAGCGTCAAAGAGGAAGCTGACTACTCCAAGTTCCAAGAAGGCTGTGAAACAGATGACTTTGGCACCTCTGAGCAGTGGGAAGAAAAATTCTGTTTCATCCTCTCCTTCTGTGCGTGACAACACAAAAATCCGACTGTCAATGTTCTCGGCTGAGGATGTGAGCTTTCCTTACCAAGTTTTACTAGAATGTTTATCTTTATAAAAAATATTTAACCAAAATTTTTGAATGCAGGAACCTGCATGTGATGTTGGAAGTCAGCAGGAGAAACAGTGGACTCATCTGAGTATGGACTTTCTTCGAGAAGATAAGATCATGGATGCCCAGAAACGCAGGCCTAATGACCCTGAATATGATCCCAAGACCTTGTATCTTCCAGAAGACCTCAAAGGCAAACTCACTCCTGTTGGCATTACAGCTATTTCATTAAGTCCATTCAAGAATTCTATCCATATTTCCAGTTTGTCTTGATTGTCTTTTGTTCTCTTCAGGCACATCGGCAGTGGTGGGATATCAAGTCCAAGAACTTTGATGTGGTGCTGTTCTTCAAAGTGGGGAAATTCTATGAGCTTTTCCACATGGATGCTGTGATAGGAGTTAAGGAATTGAACTTACTCTTCATGAAGGTTCTTGATTTTGGTTCTCAGCTACTCTCTATGATCCAGCCAGTATAACCCCAAGCATCTTTTTTTTTTCAGGGGGACTATGCCCATTCAGGATTTCCTGAGATCTCATATGCCAAATATTCTCAGACTCTCATCCAAAAGGGGTATAAGGTGGCTCGCATCGAACAAACTGAGACACCAGAAATGGCTGATGCCCGTTGCAAGAAAAGTGAGGAGGTCTCTTATTCCCTTCACATCTACAGTTTGTCTATATTTAAGGAGTTATTTTGCCCTCAATTCTCCAGTGTCTCGGTCATCAAAGTTTGACAAGGTGGTGAACCGAGAGCTTTGTCGTATCACAACAAGGGGTACCATGACCTGTGGAGTCTTGGAAGGAGATATTGGGGACTCAAGGGCCCGGTACCTTCTTGCCATAGCTGAGCAGGTCAGTTCTAGGCAGTGGACCTCTCATTCTATGGGAGATATGATTTATTGTTGGTTGAGCATGAGTTGGTTTCAATACATGCAGAAGATAGGAAGCCAGAGCAGCTCACTAGGAGTGTGTTTTGTTGATACAACCATTGGGAGTTTTCATCTTGGTCAGTTTGAAGACGATAAGCACTTTTCTCGTCTGCGCACCCTCATGGCTCATCATTCCCCTGTTCAGGTAGGAATCCCTTCTGCCCAGAAGTTCTTTCACTGATGAAAGGCAATAATTGTAAGTGTAATATTTCCATTACAGATCCTGTATGAGAAAGGAAGGATTTCAGGAAGCCTGAAGGGAGTGATATGTATGGTGCCAGTTGAGCGGGATGGCCTTGCGCCAGAGTCAGAGTTTTGGAATGCTGATAAGACCCTGAACTTTTTGTCTGAAAATGCATACTTTGATGAACAGGAGGAGGATTGGCCACAGGAACTCCTCAATCTTTCGACTGGTTGGATTTTTTAAATCATCAGTTGGCTCATTCAAGTTGCAGAATTGAGTATATTTTCACAACTGTGATGTTAATGATGGACAGGAGACAAGCGAACAGTGAGAGGAGACCGAGAGTTGGCCATAAGAGCCCTTGGGGCTGTTATATGGTACCTCAACCGATGTCTCATTGATCAAGAACTTGTATCTCTTCGCCAATTCCATTGGTATGAGCCCATCCAGGAATTCTCTCAACAAAGTGTATCTCCAAATCAGACAGATTCATACATGAAATCCCAGCGCAACATGGTATCATTCATCCGTTTCCCAAATTATTTTAATACTTATGAACTTGGCACAAAATGTTGAAAGAGTAATTATCTTCAAGGTGCTTGATGAAATCACATTGAAGAATCTGGAGGTTGTGGTCAATTCTTCTGGCACTGAAGAGGGAACTCTTCTGCAGCAGCTGGACCGATGTGTCACTCCATTTGGGAAGAGGTATTTTATAGTTCTGCATGCATGATGAGTTTGTTTTGCATGCATGTTACTTCATCAATACTAAATATTTTCTGTATAGATTACTTCGTCAGTGGGTGTGCAACCCTTTGTGCCGTCCTAAGGGGATCAATTCCCGCCTAGATGCAATTGAAGACATCCTGGCCCACAAAGACGCAATAGAAACAGTCATTGGGCTCCTTAGACAATTACCTGATCTCCAGCGACTCCTCTCAAGGTATCCTATACTTTTTTTTAATGAGAGTTGACTTTCATGTGTGTGGTCTGGATTGACAGAAATATGATAATTGTATTACTTTTTGGGAATGAGGATTCACACTCAGGGGCATGGGAAGCGGAGTCAAGATCATCCAGATAGCAGAGCCATCCTGTTTGAGGCCCAGATATATTCCAAGCGTAAAATCACTGATTTCATATCTGCTCTCAATGGCTTCAAGGTTGCTGCTGAGATCCAAGACCTCATGCACAGTGAGTCCTGATACTCTTTGGTAGATTAGTCTGCAGAGAGAACAACATTAACTTGTTCCATTTTTATGTTCTATTCTGTAACAGAATTGGTGGGGGATTCTCAGAGTGAGTTGCTCAAGCAAATTCTAACTCTGGAACGTGATGGAGGACGCTTTCCTGATCTCATTCCCCAGCTTCAGTTCTTTGAGGTCAGAATCAGTAAACCCTCACAAATATCTTACAATGGTTTCAACCTTTGGAAAAGTCAAGATTTGTTTAAATTTAGGGAGCATTTGACAAGAAGCAGGCTCTTAAAGATGGATGCATTACACCAGCCAATGGAGTGGATCGTGAGTATGACATGGCCTTAAGAAATCTTCAGGAAGTGGAGTCCCAGTTTCAGGGTTATCTCAAGGAACAGTCACAATTTTTTGGCTGCAAGGTCCTCTTTCCCTCATGCCTACATTTGGAATGCTACCAAAAGTAAATTGAGATGAAGTACTAACATTTCTCCATTTTTCAAAAATTGGATGCAGGTTGTGTACTATGGAACGGGTCGCAATCGATACCAGCTGGAGGTGGCCAGTGGAGCTGCACGCAAAGCTGGATCTGATTATGAGCTCCAAAGTCAGAGAAAGGGATATCAACGTTTCCACACATCCACAACAAAGGAACTGTACTCAAGACAGGTGAATGCCGAGGAGCAGAGAGATGCTGCAATCAAAGATATCACTCGACGTGTCTTTGCTCAATTTGACAAGCAGTAAGCCATGGGAACAACTCCTGTCACATTTCCATTGAGGCAGGAAACATGTATTTTCAATATGTACCATCAGTTTCCGACAGTGGGATGGAGCAGTTCAGTGCCTATCTGTGTTAGATGTGCTTTTTGCCTTGGCTGAGTTCAGCCGATCCTTTGAGGGAGTCATGTGCAGACCCAAGGTTCTTGCCCTCACACCTGATCAACCTGTAAGTTTTGTTTACCTATAAATGTATGTAAAAAAAAAAAGGATTTTATATATATTTTTATTAGATACTGTTTTCAATTTTTTGTATGCATGGTAGGTTGTGCTGGATATTAAAGGAGGAAGACATCCGTGCTTAAGTGGAAATCTGTTGGCATCAAGTGGGAACTTTGTGCCCAATCCAACACACTTGGGGGGTGAGGAGCCCACATTGCTTCTCCTCACAGGTCCCAACATGGGTGGAAAGTCAACTCTGATGCGCCAGGCTGGGCTAATTGTCATTCTTGCTCAGCTTGTAAGTTTCTCTTGACATTGCTTCTCTGTACTGTGTAGTGAAATATGTGCATGTAATTATTTTTCTTGCTTCAGGGGAGCTTTGTTCCTGCAGAAACATGTACACTGACTACCCAGGATCGCATCTTCACTCGCCTTGGTGCGAGTGATTCCATCATGACTGGAGAAAGCACTTTCTTTGTGGAACTTAGCGAGACTGCTGCTATCCTTCAACATGCATCTCCGTATTCTTTTGTTCTCCTCGATGAACTAGGTTTTGTCTTACTACTTCTCACATCTGTCATCACTTCAAGCTTTTGAAATTCACTGATATTTTTGTATTGCAGGTCGAGGGACAGCAACGTTTGATGGAACATCCATTGCACATGCTGTAGTAAAAAAATTGGCTGATTTGAAGTGTTTGACTATCTTTTCCACTCATTACTTCAGCTTAGTTGAAGACTTTGAATCTCATCCATCTGTATCCTTGGGTCATATGGTGAGTTAAAATCTGGCTACCCTATCCTTTGTCATCATGACATCACCACTGAACCTTTCTTGGAATGTTTGCAGGCATGTATGGTGGAAGATGCAAATGAGGAAGATCCAACAGAGGAGACAATTGCCTTCCTATATCAACTATCCTCAAGAGCATGTCCCAAATCATATGGTTTCAATGCAGCCCGCCTCGCTGGACTGCCCTTGCCCATCATTCGCAAGGCACATTCTGTTGCCAAAAACTTTGAAGCTACTCTTGCAGGCCGAAATTTCTTTCAAAGCATCTGTCTCAATTCTCAAAAGGCCAAAGAACTCAGGAAGGTCCTCACTGCTGCCATTTAATGAGAGAATTGTCATGATTGATAATGTGGAGTTGAATGTTTGCTTTAATTTTCGCCTCAAGAACATATTCTCTCATTAATCATCAAAATAAAGTGTCCTCATTGTTCAGGAATGAGTGAAGTTTTCACTTGGTCAAATGATACACCATGATCTATTAGAACCTCATGTGATGAATTTGAGAACTCATTGTGGTTGAAGTTGTCTGTCATGCAGCACAAAAATTGGTACACATCTGTTTCTACCACACTGTGACCCATCTACATTCTGCAAATATTGTTTCAGCTACTTAAATGTTATTCATATAAGAAAGTAATAGTGCTACCCTATAGTTGAACTTCTACTTATCCAGAATAGTATTTACATAGTTCAATTTGAACACACATGATGGAGTTGGGTGAAAAAAGTTAAATGCTATTTTGAAGCAGTTTTATTTCATTTTAGGCCTGCCTTCATGACTATTCTATAACCAGCCTCAACACATTCTTCCCAGATGACTGCCTTTAATGAATTTGTCATGTCTAGGGATGGAGTACATTTTTCGAAAGTGGGAGCTGTAGCAGTCGGATTGGCTATCATGAAGGAAAATGAGCCATTTTTTAGGGTTGTAGGCAAGGGATCACAAGCAAGGGACAGCCACTACGAGCAGCATTAGACTGCAGGGTACTGGTGTGCAGGAAAGGCAGGGAAGAGTAAAGTGTTTCTACGCGAATGCGCACAGCTTACGTAATGAAATAGACGAGCTATGGGGGAGGGCACTGGACAACGGTTTCGATGTCATCGGAATAACCGAGACTTGGGGTGGTTCTCACATTTCGGATAAGGAATTCGAGATCGAAGGGTACGACATCTTGCGGAAAGATAGGCTCGGAAGAAAGGGGGGAGGAGTCGTGTTGTACGCTAAAACCGAACTGGGCGTTCGCGTCAGAGAAGATCTCACCTCGGTTACCTGCGGAGCAATCGAACACTTATGGTACGAGATCGGTGGGGCAACTGGGAAGATCGTGATAGGAATTTGCTATAGGTCCCCTAACTCTTCTCTCGAGGATGAAGCAGCTTATTTTGCACTCATGCGTAGGATCGGCGAGATCTCGAAGCAGGTATTGCTCTTCGGAGACTTTAAAATGCCATAGATTGGTCGGTGCCGCAAGGGGGGTGCGAAAGGGATAGGGAATTTCACCTTGCGGTTCAGTACGCTCTTCTCGTTCAGTATGTAAATGAACCGACTCGCGAGGAAGCTTTATTGGATTTAGTTTTTGCGACGAACGACGATCTGGCACTAGACGTTAAGGTACAGGATAACTTGGGAGATTCGGATCACTGCGCGATCACGTGGAATATCAAGCGGACGAAGAGTAACGCCAAACCGAGGAAGGTTTCGTACAACTATAAGAAGGCTAATTTCGAGAGACTACGTGAATGCGTTTCAGGCATCGACTGGGAGGTGCGGCTCCGTGGGCTGACGGTAGAGGAGCAATGGGGGGCGTTCAAGACGTTATTGCAGG